AATTTCAATGAAACAGTACAGCAAACAGGAGATTATGATGATTCATTTTATGGGAGAATATTAAAGAAAAGCAGGGTGGGAGTTTGGTGTCCTCATCCTGCCCCCCTGCTCTCCCCTGCCACATGCTTTTGAGAGTCTTCTCAACTGACTGATCTAGATGCTATTTCTGTCTTTTCTTGACCACTAACACACTGTATCTTCAACAGGTTAATTAAATACTATCAACACCCCACCCCCCCCCAATTTCAGAAGAAACACTACAGGTGGAAGTCTTCATTTCTGTCCTGATGAGCTGTATGGAAGGTTCTTTGTTGAGTGCTTTCAGGGAGACAGTTTTTTTTCCAAACGTCCAGCCCTGCAAGTTTAACCTAGGTCCACTCATGCTCTAGCTTTCTGGGGTTTTGTCCTTTCTTGAGCACTACCACCAGTAACAGGAGACCTCCTCTGGCTTGCCAAATACAACAATGCCCTCACCAGTCAAATTTCGGGTCCCTCTGGACAACACCCATTGTCCTCAGTGAGGTTGGCACAGGTGTGTCTGAGTAAAAAAAATCCAGCTCAACCCATTTGGCCCAACTCTACTGTTGGATCCATGCCAATATACCCATACAGAGTTCCACTGAAATCTGCTAAAGCAGCAGTCTGTCAGCATACCAATTTTATAAGACCAAGGTCATCCTGGCAGTTCTGCACAGAGAACTAAGGTTTAAAAGCAACCAGTACCAGCCAAAAGGACGGGGAGGCAAATCTGTGGAGTAAAAAAGGACCATTTTGACAAACTCCCTTTCAGGTTTATAATCTGATTTCTCTTCTCAACTCATCTCTTGCTGGATACACCTGTTATGATCTTTTAACACTCGGGCAAGTGCCAGTACAATGTTTTTAATCTCACTTTCCCTGCACAACAAAGATTTCTTCCTACCTTGATTTCATCCAGATCATTTGGATCTTTTACTCGGCGAAAGTAAGCAGATGTGATTCTACACGGTTTCATCCAAATAGGCTGATTTAGATTAGGATCCTCAGCAAATATTTCCCCAAAGATCTCTCTTGTTAAATCAAATACCACCTTAACAAAGAAAGAAGTAAAAGTTAAGGCTTCTGTTGTTCATGGTAAACATTCAAAGGGCAAGAACAAAATGCCTGAAGACTGTACCTTTTTATAAACCTGCTTGTTTATGTCTGTGTCCTGCTCTTTGAGGGTACTACTAAGATCTGTATGAAGGTTGAAACTTTGAAGATCGTGACCCAGCTCTTTCAGTTTCCAGAGTTCCTCAGCTGCTGCATGCACCATACCTTCCACCTCCACTGCAGTATGAGGGACTGCCAAAGGCTCCTCACATGGCTTTGTTGGCACTTTCTGTGGTTCTACCTTGGGCAGCACTGCTGGTTCCTCAGCTTGCTTCTGCTGGACCTTATGGGAACTCAGGCCATAATCCTCATCAAACCAGTCTTGATCATCTCCCAGCACACTCATGAGCTCCCGATTGAGCTCCAGCTCTGCCAGTCTCTTGGCAAGCTCTTCCTGACCACTGGCACCAAACACTGGACTCTCCTGTGAATTAAGAGCCACAGAGTAAATATAAAAGTGGTATCACACTGTTGTCTAACTCAACTTACATTCTTAAATGCTCTACTGATGTAACTGGCAATATATGCACAAAATACTCAGAAAAATAATAAATAGCCCACAGTTAGTTTAGAAACATTTTTATTCAAATATCTGGGGTTTCTACTACTCCTGATGAATGCTTTCAGAGGGTTCCTACAGAGCTTAAAAGACTGTGCGTCCTAACCACTGTCTGTCCCTAATGTTTAACTGTTTATGAAAGGCTCAGTGGTTTAAAAACTGATAATGTGACATACAATGTTTAATTTCACTTACCAGTCTCAGATCTAAATCAACAGCCTAAAAGCTTTTAGCAGGTAATGGCTGTTTTAGTGGCTGAGCAGTGCTCACACTAGTGAAATGGACTGAAGCTTTCTGTGATGATAATACATTGAGATCACTGGCAAAGTAGACAGGTTTACTGGGATCTTCAGCGGAAAAGGCCAAGTCCTATATCTGTATCATTAATGGTTATTCTGAGGAAGCCTGAACTTCCACTACTCGTGATATATTAGTTCAGTGGATAGAGCAGTCTGACACCTTAATGACCTCCACAGCAACTAATTATGTTTGAGGATACAAATAGAACATGTAAGCAGAATGCAACCTCAATGAAGTATTTTTCACTTTCATGTGCCAAAATGTGTCTTTCAGCCTGTAGGGCTTCCAAAATGAGCTGTGAAGTGGGATACACAAGAACACACATGTAAAAGACATACATACAGGCAATCTCCACATCACAAAACAGAACCTGGGAGACAACAAACTGGTGTGCCACCCAGCAGTCCTAAGATTCAATCATCATCAGTCAAAGGAACGATCAACTCTTAAAATAAGTGCAAGTTACTCACTGGTCTGGGACACATGTCCGGAGAGGAAAGTTCTTCTCTTTCATCTTCCAAATCAGAACTTAGAAAAAAGTTATTCAGTCCATCGGGAATCTGCTTTTCTACCTGCTGGGATGGGGTACCAGATTCCTCCTTCACATCACAGAGCTCCTGATTGCTTAGCTGGATTTTCTCATTCCTGACCTTCTTTATTTGCTGTAACTGATTGACCGTGTCTTTCACAAAATCTTTAAGTAGACTGTCTGTCAGCAAACTGACCTTTTCGAGTTGGTCTTTTGACTTTTCTTCCTCTCTAAGCGGTAGTCTAAGCTGGGCTTCTAACTGGTTCTTTTCTTTTGTTAGCAAATCCAGAAGTGGAGTTGCAGGCTTCTCCACAACTCCAGTAGAGAGATCATCTAACTTTTCAGCACATTCTTCCCCCAGTGTCTTCTGCCTTTCCAGTTTTTCAGAAAGGAAATCTGAGATGTCATCCACCTGAACAGTGGAAATTGCATCCACAACACCAGAAATGAGAGGAGTGAGGCTGGCCTCCTCTCTTACAGCATGCTTCAGATAATCCACCACTGACTGTTCTTGGGCAATTGATTCAGTAGCTACAGAAATCTCCTTTATGCTGTTCGCTTTAGAAGATGGTTCTTCCTCAACCTTTTCCCCAGCTGAGGCTTCTGAAACAGCTGTCTCTGCAGGACCTTTATCCTGGGAATAGTTCTCTGTTGCATCTCTGCTCTGGGGTTCATCCTCCTTGCTAGGTTTGGAACTTCCTTTGTCTTTCTGCTCTGCTTTGTGTTGCTTCTCCAGTCTACCATCAAAGAATGAGTCTTCATCCTTATTTGTATCTAAATGGCTATCAGTACTTTCTGTAATATGAGAGATTTTTTGAGGAGGAGCAAAAATACCATGCTTTTCTTTGCAATCAAAATATTTAATACCACCATAAGTTCCATTATTGTTCCCTTCAGGTTTATCCAACTCCACGCCAGCCCAAAACCCTTTGGCAAATTTAGTCAGACCTTTGAACCGCAATGTTCCAGGTTGGACTTTACTCACAAGTACTCTATCACCAATGTTGAAATTTGGCAAACTATCTGTTTCGTCTGTGATCAAAACAGAGGCCCACAGCGGTGATTCAGTAGGGGCCTGTTCTTGCTCCACATCTCTGCGTTCAGTATTTTTTATAAGCTCTGTTGGGGACTTAAGTTCTAATAACCTCTCTGAATGCATGCTGCCAGAGAGAGAGAGAGACCTGTCACTGAGGTATTCACTGATTTCACCATCACTGCCAAGGCTTGTGGATCTACTTCTGCTAGTTTGTGTGTGCTGTGACCGCTCTGTCAGCGACTGAGCATCCCCGTTAGGAGAGAGAAGAGATGCTTCAAAGTCGTCTTTGTAACGTTCCCCAGGAAGTGTTTCTTCAACTGATGCTTGTTTTCTGGACAAGGATCCTTCAAAGTCTTCAAGGTATGATGGCTCCTTTTGACTAAAGGGTTGTTCTGAAAGCAGGTAACCTTTTTCCTCTGCTGATCTGCTCAGTTTGCAAGACGACTCTTCTACACCTGGGCCAGTTACAGCATCTTTATCTGCCAGTCCCTGTTCTAAGATTTCTTCCGTACCATGAAGACTTTCCACAGCCAAACCAAGAAGTTCCTTCTGAGAGTGTTTGTTTTCAGAACAGAGGACTTTCTTTGGAAGGATGTCCAGTGAGCTCTCCTGTTCTCTATCTAACGTCAACAAGACGTCAGAATTCTCCAAAGGCTTAACATGAGAACCTTCAATCTCGTATTCCTCAGACTTTATGTATTCCAAGTCTTCCTGTATCTCAGATTTATGACTAAAGGCAGCCTCATCACTGGATACATTTACCACATTGTTCATTGACCCATGGGATATCCCGCTAATGTCTTTCATGTCTTTGAGAAGAGATGATGAGGGTACATTATCTAAGGAATCACCAGATCCTGCTCTGGAATTCCTTGGTGACATTAAAACCAAGGAAGATGTTCCAGAAGGTTCTTCTGCATGAACATCTGTCACAGCCACCTTCTTGGTGTGCACAGACACAGATCTCTCAGTTCTTGATGACACAGCATCTTGAAGGAAAATAAAAAGTGAATTACAGCAGATCATATAGCCTGCAGTGCTTTACTGGAAACTGCAACCATAGGGAACAAAATTAACGCCGAAGTTTCTATGCTAAAATAAGATACAAACTGGTGCCTTGGAAACATGTATTACTAGCTGTCCTGTGAACATGAGCAACATTCTTTCAGTTCTAGGGTTCTAACACTTTCTTTCAGATTCTGTTCCTTGCACCAGTATTTCATAATGCTATATAATACTGAGCCCAAGGTAAACAAGGTGTTGAAAAGTATCTCAAAAAACCCCTATTCCTAAATGTCTGTTCCTAAAGCCTTCATTATTTTTCATTTCCTTACTTTCCTCAAATGATAAAGGAACAGGAAACAAAAGAAAGGACAAAGGTTGCCACGTAATTATGGTTCACACAAACCTCAGCAAGAGTAAAACTGAATACTGAATATACAGGAAACAGCAAAAGCTGAAGCCTACTAAATAAAAATAGTAAAAAAATATAGCTTGATCGTTATCTTTTTATGAAGTCTGCATGCTCTCTTAAAACCTCTTCTTGAATCAAGGAGGAAAAGATTAAAGAAGTTTAAAACAATCAGTCTTCAAGATCTTCATCTGTAGTACAGATTCTTCCAGTCACATACCTGCATGTTCTGAAATGGATTCCAAAGATGCTCTGGATCGCTCTGATTCAGCCAGTGATTTCCAGTTTTTAGCTGTCTCAGGCCTAAAGTTGAAAAATCAAATTGCATGAATCATGGTTACACCAGAGTGTTGTTTTGTTGTTTATTTTTTTTTTCTTCCCCAATAGATAAAAATGAAAATACAAGCATCTGTAATTATAATACCACACCAATGATAACAAACAACTTGGTTTGTCAACATACTGTGACCTTAGAAAACAGGAATGGGGACAGAGAGAAGCGTTTGGTGAATCCTGGAAAGCAATTTTCTAGAAGAGTAATCAAGCTAACCTTTTTTGCAGCCAAAAAAAGAGAAAAACAAAATTACTTTTTTTTTTTTTTTTTTTTTTCACTTGAACACTCTAAAATTGCACCATCTGCTGGAAAAAATGAAATGCTTAAAAATACAGTAGGTAGTGCAGAAGTCAGTTGAATCCTTTACCTTTTAAAACCTAAGATCTAAACCAGATTTAAGTTGCAAAGATGAATGGTTTGCCTCACAGTGTGGCAGGCATAACGGGTGACCAAAATGGGAAAAAATTTAGGTCAGTAATCCATACAACTACCTGGCACATTCTTGCACAATTGAAAATTATTGTTCAGAAAGAACTTGAAAATAGGATCTGAAAGACTGGGCAGGACAAAAGTAAGATGCATACAATTACAGGGACAGTACATCTTATCTGTTTTGGGTCTGATGAGACCAGCAAATAGGTCAACAGGATACTGCCACTGTCCAGTGCTTTAAAGAAGAGCAGTTACCAGCTTTCCTTACACTCATGGTTTCTGCTAAAACAGCGTTCACTGCAGTTTCAGAATAAACTCAAAAAGAAGAAGAAAACCCAGTTACCTATGGAGCGGTGGTGCCTTGATCTTCGGTTTTTCAGCAGCAGCTGAGGATGGAGTTTTAATCTGAGGCTTGGCTGTGGGTGATGCCTCCAGATCTTGGCTCAGCTCTGCTTCAGTCCTTTTGATAAACTCATCATACGACTGCACATGGAAAACAGATACGGCTGTTAGTCTACTAAACCATTAGTACAACTCAGCAATTAAAACCTATTAAATGAATAAAAGATACACTCGGTTTCTCTATAAAGCAATCTAGCTTCCTAAAGCTCTACAGTTATGAATCCTAGAAATTTTAATACTCTACTTTCAAAAACAAATTACATGAGCATCACTCTAATCCAAGCGAGGATACATAAGCCCCATGAAGACTCCTAGTAATGCATTAAAGATACACGTTTTAAAAGGGAATGGCATTTTTGCCTCAAGGCTCTGGTTCATTATTAAAAACAATTAAATAGCCAGAACACAGTCACAATTCTATCACAATAATGTGTCTTTCACAGCTGTTGATACAATATTCTGCCAACAACATCCATACTATAATGATTTATCCAACGCTAATGATCCTTTACTTCGCCCTTCTTCCTACTGTTCCTAACCTCCAGTTGTTTGATCAAACTGGCTTCCTGGGCCTTCAGTCTCTCCTTTTGTCTCTTTTTCTGTTCCTTTTTCAGCTGGTAAACCACAGACTTCCTTTTCCGTAGTTCATCCTTCAGGGCCCTGATCCGTCCTTCAATATCACTTTGATCAGATGTGGTTTCTGAAAAAGTTTCGTTTAGTCTTTGTAAGCTTGCACCTCACAAAACAGTTCTATGCAAAGCAATGAACAGTAATTTAGTAAACACAAAATATGGTCCAAGCAAAATATCAAAGAATTTAATGTCGACATGTTAATCTTAACATAGTAAGACTCTTAAAGTGGGATCTCAGATTCACAACACTACTATATAACATATGAAGAAGTGTTGCATCTTAATTTAGAAGAGAAAGGCTCTGATACATACAGTAACTTGTTACCAAACTTGTTCATGTCAATCGGCCATGTTTATGCTGCTACCTCATTAATGGCTTATCATGTCAGCTGTTGCAGAAATTAATATTTTTCTGACATATTTAAAAATATGACAACTCAAAGATGCATAGCAAAAATATATCTGAAATATTTGTTTACAATCACGATATACAGTTTCAAGCTACAAGGTACACTTTATTGATGAGAATTTCACATGCGACAGTAGTATCTCTCTCTCTCTCTCTCTCTACATACATGTATCTTTGCTACAGGTTCAATTTTACAGACCTTCCTATAATGCCATTACTGACTGTAGCTATTTTTCACCTGAACATTTTTTTTCTTAATCATTATCCTTAGTAATTTTAATAAGATCTCCTCCATTTCCCTCCATCCCCAGGAACTCCCTGCAACCCAGTCTTCCAGTCCTGCTGATGATGTTCTAACTCTTTTCCCTTGGGACACGGTCCCCAGATACTTAAATCCATTCCCTGCATGATAACCCCATTCTACCAGTCACTCTGCTACTTTCATTATTTCTGCTCTAACAACCTTTTAGTGTCTCAGACCTCTCAAGACTTTATAGAGAGACTGCCTCAGTGTCTCATTACTTATTCTCTCCCACCTGATTATGTCCACTTGTTTCTTGCTTTAAATGTATATCAACATAGTGCTAAACAAGATCCTTGTCCCAGATTGGTGCTACCACAATTAAGTATCAAAAGCTCTTCAAAATGTTTATCTGACATAGTCTTACTGGAGTTCCTCCCTGTGGCTGATGTCCCCCTTCCTCTTCTATAGCAGCAGCTGCAGCTCCTAAGAGAAGGATCTTGGCTGGTTTGCTTTTCTAATGCTCAATATTACCTATAATGTTTTCTGGACCAAAAAGGCTTGGATGCTTATAAACGCCAATTGCTTTACTGAACATCCTAGGAAGTAAGTCACCAGTATTATTTGGTCAGCTAGCAGGAACAGCTGGACATTTTGCTAATCAATCTCACTTATCAACAAAACAAACCACCATAATGAAGGATTTCATCATCAACAACAGCCAGTAAATACAGTCAAACTACTGTATTCTTTTTCCATTAACAACTGTTGTTAAACATTTAGAGAACTAAAAAAAAGAACAAAAACACCCCACAGCACAAAAAGAATGTAATCTCACTTGCTAATCAGGAGTACTTTATGATGCCACTGTAATTAACAACTCCTCCCGAATAGTAAGTGACCACTATGTAATTATAGCTTTTCTTGATCAACTCATAAGCGAAAGATCTGCACATGCTTTCATCTTTGACGATCTTGTCTACGCATGCATCAGACTGACATAGCAATGACTTCATTACTACTCAGCAGCTGGGAAGATTTGTCTCTTTACAATGGAATGATTTATTGTGAAACCAGCGCCATCCTGATGGGCTTCCCACCTCTTACACCTTTCTTCAGCATTTGAGATCAAAGATCGCAAGTGCTTTATTTTACAAAAGTTTATTTTCATGATCACTGTTGCCCGCTCTACTTTTCATAATGATTTCCTTATGTGGTTGCTCAGTCAGAACTTGAAATAACTTTATCAAGTTGCGGAATGCTTCACTGTGTTGCAAACTGCTCTCCAGACAGAATCCCAATACAAATTACTCAGTGCAAATACCTAGGTGTTACGTATTCATTTCTCTGACCAGCAAGAGAACAGCTGCCTCAAAATTACTGTATTTCTATTGCACTTACATACATATTAACAAAAAAACCCCTACATAAAAGGTTATTAAGCTTGCTACATCAAGCACCACGAAGACTGGGTATGTACATACGCCAGCAAGTTATCCATCTATCACAAACAACAGCTAGTACATACAATAGAACCACCTAATTCTTCTTCCACTAAAGACTTATTGATCATTTAGGGAATTAAAAAAAAAAGCAGGAAAATGATATCTCATTCACTGATAAGTATTTTATGATGCTGTATCAACTGCATTGTGGAATACAAGACATTTTAGAGACTAGAAGCACAGAAAAGTTCAAAACAGACTTCACAGATGATGGTGACCCACTGAACGGTGGCTCAGGAAGTCCTGGAATCCACATGGCTAACGGATTGTGAGAGCACACCAGGGAAAGGACCACTCTGTACCAGTTCACTTCTAATATCCTCTCCCTCAGCATTTACTGGTAGCCAGCTTGGATACTGGGTAAAAGGAGTATAAACAGTCCATATAATAGATCTTGTATTCTATAGCTCAAAATGCGATCTTAGGCCTTATTTTACTGCACACAGTTCAAACCTCCTCCAAAAAGAGAAACATATCTCCTAAGTATACACTCACTCTGCACGTGCCAGTGCAGGTCCAATGGGCTCACTCATACTGCCATGACAACAGAGCTGTACTGCTGCTGGAGCCAGGTTGTGCTCAGAAGGGGGACAATCATGTTTGTACACTGCTGAACAACATGAGGGGCAGAGCAGTGTCACCTGTTAAAAGCACAGCTAACCGTGGTATTTTTAAATTCTAGGACCACCTTAACTATTGACTCTTATCTTCTTCATACCTGCATTGCTTTCTAAAAGAAGAGACAATATATAGACCTTCTTACACTGAAGTGATCAAATTACATCATGGGAAAATACTCCCACAAAACCCCAAACCTTGGCAATTTCCAGGAATATCTGGCTGCCTCCCCACATCTATGTCTGCATTTCAAGTTTACCTGTTAAAAGCAAAAGCTTTGAAAAAGCAATTTAAACCCAAGCAGATATTACACTTACCTGACTGTGTCATAGATAAAGATTCATCAGACCAGTTGTGAGATATTTGATGAGACTTCACAGGTGAACGTAGCTGTCCTCCAGTTCTATGGCTGCCTTTGCTGGAATCTTGCTTTGATACAGATATGCTGCTTTTAGGAGGAGACTATGGGAGAAGAAAGGACAAATAAGTAATTGCATGTAAAGCTCAGTTTGAAAGTAGATCATTGTCATCAGGAGCTAGTTACAAGGAAAGAACAGCATGACTAGAGAACATCTCAGAAGCATTTGTAGTACCTATCCAGCTATCTTAAGAAGAATTTAATCTTAGTTTGCTAGACAAAAACAAAAATACCAAGAGCAGCAATAACTGACTGCTTACCCTGAGCTTAGATTTCAATAAACCTGCTTAGACTACTCTATTACTACCTAAGTGAACTGACATGGTTCTGACTCACAGGTGTTCAATACAGTTTATGTACTCTTATTTGGCAACAACCATGGCAGTAAGAACCCATACTAATATAGCTGTGAAGCCAAAAGGACCATTTTAAGTAAGAGGTGCAAGATGCCATTCTAAATCAGTAAAACAACAGAGTACTATTTCTCTGTAGCCAGGCAGAAAATTCTAAGAGCAAATATTCTTCCAAAATGCTATTACTGCTGAAACATTATACCACAAACCTTTCACACACCTTGAACGTAACCTCTAGCACATACTAGACATTTTACCTCACTATCTTCTCAGCAAACTTTCCAAGAAAGTATTTGTAATAAGTCTAGATGAGTGGTTCTTTTACCTCACAGACACCGCATTTTCTGTCTCACTGAGCACAGGGCAAAGTTATCAGGATGAAACTTATCAAAATTATCAAGCAAGTAGAAATAACAGTTGGAATAGAACAACAAGACAGAATTAGCTAGCAAGCAGACATAATCTGAAACCCAAAGGACTGTGCATGACGTTACAGCTCTGCTTCTTCATCCTACGGCTATACTTTGGGACACATTTCTTGCAAGTAAAGCAAAGTGGAAAAACAGGGAATAGTTTCATGGCCTCTAAGAATTTATACAATGGTAACAAGCTAGCCTACAGCTAATTCACACTGGTAAACTGGGTCAGTGTTCCACCACTTAATACTGCATACCTACGTGACATATGCAAAACATTTTGCAAGACTACCCACAAGTTTAAAAGTATCTAAACTCTGCGGAAGCAATTTTTCCTCAAGACTTCAAAGAGCATATCTAATCACAATGTTTATCCACAGTATTGTAAAATGGTATGGCAAACACAGAGAACAGTTTAATCTCTGCTTTGACAAGTGGGACAGCTATACTTACTACTTCTCTGATAGCCTTTTACAAGTGTAAGAATATATATAGCATAAAAAGCTCACTCACAAGTTTGCCAGGCGAGGTAGAAGACTTGAACTCTTCAGAATAAACCATTTCTTCATTAGCTGTACTCTGATCTGGGCTTTCTGGCTGTCCATGGCCCATAGTCTCTGATGGGACAGACTCAGCAGCTAAACTACCAAGATCTTCTGGGATAGAGCTTTCACTGTTCAGACGAGAGCAAGAAGGCACTGGAGACTCTTCTTCACTGGCCGTTTCTGAGATCAAATAATGAGAGAAAAAAACCAAAGTGCCTAAGAGCTTGCACTGACTTACATACCTTCAGAGATACTGCTGCCTGCAGATAAAGTAGTAACTGCTACCAATACACGTCAAATTGATAAGTGTTATTCCACTCACCTACACACCAAGGGTGGAATATTTAGCAAGAATAAACATGTTTATGCATGTTTACCAGAGAACTACGATTTAAGACTGCCATTCTTAGTGATTACTGAATGTCTAAAATAAAGGGGTTTTCAGGATAATCTAACATTTTCCAGACAATACACTCCAGAAAGATTATTAGGGAAACCTGTCCTTCCAGTTGACCATACACCAGCAAGAGTCACTATTAGTCTGAAGAAGTCATGGAGGAGCATATAATCTGCAAGCCAGATCTTGAATTTAGAATTGATTGCTTCCTTTACAGTAGTTGCAGAAAACATTTTAATGTTATGATTTCATCATGAGTCTCTCAACTGGCAACAAGTAAAATAATAAGTTGGGTTTTCAATATTCCTGTTTACTAAATTCCGCAGGAGTCACAGCATTACTGAAGCAGCCATGGAGAACTATTCAATATTTGAGCAAAGGCTGGGGAGAGGAACTTCTGAAGCAGGGCCGTGCTCCAATGCTTACTGGTAGATACAATTCATAGAAAGCAAGTGTATTTTCTCATCTGTTGATGAGAATTCAGCATTCATGCTGAATTTTTGTTCATTGGAACTTACTGACTTACACACATATCATCTTTAAAATGTCTTACAATGCCTAAAATCCATGACTGTTTTCAGTAACAACAGTAATAGGGCATAATTCTGAATTCCCTTTGCACAGTCAAAGGACATGCTGCTTGCTTTCAGCAAAGTGGGAAAAAAAAAGGAAAATTGATTCTTTCTAGAACAATCCCTGGAGTTTCATTATTTTCTCCCACTGCAATCCAGTTCTCTGTGCTTTACGCTGAAAGTATGGTCTACTTAAGACAGAACAGTAAAGCTTTAGCTCCCAAAATCTGGGAACTTATTTTTACTCACAATAGCATCACTTACTCCAATTACATCCTAGCACACTTTAGCACAGTTGCAGATTTCAAACAGTTACACTGCATTTAGGGAGGGAAGAGGGAAGAAAAAAAATGCTTTCAATTTTTTGAACATACAGACAAGGGGAAAGCAGCCCCTGATAAGAGCCATCCTCGCCAACAGTAATAAAGCTAACAGGATGGACACTCAAACAGCACTACAGGGGAAAACGGTTTTAATGGATTAAGTTCAGAAGATGATCAGCAAAAGATCATGCAGTATTTTTGTTTTCAAAGACAGAAATATAGTTTAAGTTGTATGTAGAAAAGTCCGATGGGTCTATGCTGCACTGTTCACTTGAGAAGATACAGCAAAGGAGGAATACACATTTAACTAAGGTGTAAAATAGGGCTAAAAGAACAAGGCAACAGAAGGCACTAAAGAGTGCCAAAATTGAGATTCTAAAAGTGTCCAGAGAAGAACCACTACCACCAAAACATCAAAAAAGGGAGAAAGTACAAACCTAAGCAATCGTTGTGTCAAATTATGCTTTACTCTTGCCATTTGCATCACTTCCCCCCTTTCCTATTACCTTTGGGCTCAGTTCTCTGATCCCCCAGGTCTTTCTTGGCTATTTTGGTTTTGAGCAGCTCTTTGTCCCAGGCAGCTAGAGCCTGCTTTTCTATTCGCCGTATTTCTGCTTCCTCTGCATCCAGGCGGCGTTTCCACTCCAACAATTCTTCAGCATGTTGTCGACGCTGCATCAGCTTCTGTTCTCGCTTAGTTAGGAACCTGACAGACAGAGCAGAAGACAATGGGAAAACAGCCAACCACACTCAAAGGTCCCGATACCCAGATGCTCTATTGTCACAATTGCCAGAATTATAGCTGTTCAAATTGTTTTCTAGGATAATATCCACACTAACTACTATCTCCTAAACTTCTGATGTGCTGTTGAAAAAAACCAAACAAGTAGACAAGAGATTTTTTCTTTGCAGTAAGTCAAGTCTACAACATACTGTAAACACGCTGCTTACATTTTAAAGATCTTCAAAATCATTAAAAGTGCTACTAACTATTCACTAAAATGAACAGGATAAGTTCCAAAACTCAGGACATGAAAAGTACCTATGGTATTAAACTGGAACCCTCAAGAAAGCAGTTTGAAAAATGAATCTTTCTTTTTGCTAATCCCAATGACAGAAAAACTGTAACCCCAGCTGCCCCACAGTTCATTCCAAATACATAATTATAAGAGAAGGTGAATCTGTATTAATAGTTCTCCTGAATTACTGGAAGTTTTATCCTTCTTCCTTTAAGCATCATCTCTCTGGATTGCCACACTTGGAATGTTAATTGTCAGCTGACAGCATCAAGAAAATAAGGATGCAGGACTGTTTTTCCCAGCTACTAACAGATCTGGCTGCTACTTTAAGAGTGGATAAAAAGTAAAGCTCATGCTGAAAATTAGCATTTTTTTTTTCTTTCTGACAAAGATTTCTTAAGTGATCCATGAAACCTCAGAAATGGGGAAATTCTTATGAGAACTTCACAGGTATGAATAGGTTTGTGTGCATATACTAGTCCTCTTTGCCAGCTCTTGAACAAAAGTATCTCTGGTCTTATTTCTAAATATTGAAGTAACCAAGACCATAGCATTTAACCTTTAAGACAGTAAAGGAAGCAAGTTCAACATCAATTGCACACAATTCCTCTGACCTGCCAAGTCTAGAGAAGAGTGTACAACAATCCATTCATCTCCTACACTGAAATTTTTAAGATACCACAGAATCTATCTGTAGAAAATACATGGTTTGCTAGCTAGAGTGAGAGTTCACCATTGGTACAGAAGGTGTGGTGCCTAAAAAGGCAGTCTTCAAAGACTTGTGATATTTTGCTTTGCAAATGCCTTTATAGCTTGTAATTTTCAAGCCATCCCAAACACTCAGCATCAAAGTTTTTAAGCTGCAAAGCAGATAATAATTTCATTTATGCTTTTTAATGTCTTGTGTTTCAAAAAACTCTTTTATTTACAGCGACTGGAATGACCAACTGACTAATCTGCAAGTCTCGCCTGCTAAGGGACATTTCCTGTTTGTTCACTTAGCGTTCATTCTGTTCCCTGGAAAAGCGAGCTGCCAGTTGATTGGAAAGGTAAAGATTCAGATAAGGCAGACAAGTTATGATGTGAAGATAAAAGTTTCAGAAGCCAGTAAGACATGCCCACAATCTTCTTTCCTATGGTCAAAACAAAAGCAGGTGAAAAAAAGAAGCACCTCAGAACCTCTGGAACACCTGCCACCTTCAAGCTGACAGATTCCATGATTTTGTGCATTACTTTATCACTTTCTACAGACAAACATCAAACATCATCTACTCTTGGGCAAAATCAACAGATTAATGTAATTAAGAAACTAGATTACCAACAGTAATTGCATTACAAACATGGCATGGACAGTCATGCTTATGTTGTGTCTTTCACCAGTACTATCAGATTTATCAACTCTTACTTTCAGATACACATCAGTGCCATTTAGTCTAGCAGATCATGTATTTGGAACTTGTTATGCAGGTCATTATTACAATGATCTCAATGCAAAAGGCAACTTTTTCTTCTTCCTTCACCTGCTGTTTGATTTCATCAGAATGTCTGGATTGTCACAGTGTACTGGATCTTGAGGGAGGCAAGTCCAGTGGAAATAAAATGCAAGAGAAAGGCTGAAATAAATGGATTCAAAAGAGCAGGACTCCTTAAAAGCAGATGTCAAATGAATTAACCCAGAAGACCACAAACAGGAGGAGAATTAACTAAATGACTATGAAACTAATCACCACACAAAGACTACTTAATAAGAAAGGTAAGTCAAAAGAAGTGATGGGAGAGAAAGAGGAGGATTAAAACAGCATGGTTAAAGATGCGGACCCTTTTATAACCCTGGGGTTTAAAAGGTCAGAGCCACAAGATAGCATACACACTACCTTAATATTTACTACAGTCTAGAGGGTTCCAGTTGCAACACCAAGGGTACACATTTATCATCAAAAGCATGGGCACCTCCAGAGAAAAAAAAATGCCAAAACTACATCTGGCATCTATGAAAGTCAAAATCTGGCGGAGCAAAGAGGAAGCAGCAGCACTCAGATTACACCAGCATGATTTCAAAGTCTAAGTATTTCTGTGGTGCTAACATCATGCATTTTATCCATCCATTCCAAATAATAACCTGGAAGCATCAACCTGGTGCTCTAACCTGTACATTTATAACCAAGGTATACTGACTTTAACCCCAAAGTAGACAGTTTCAGCAGCTCTTCTGAAGCAGTGACCAGACAGTGGGAGCAAAGTGGACCATCTGTCTGCCACTCAGAAGACAGTAGGAATAAGAGATTAGAATCACAGAATGGGTTGGGTTGGAAGGGACCTTAAAGATCATCTAGTCCAACCCCCCTATCATGGGCTGGGACACCTTTCACTAGATCAGGTTGTTCAAAGCCCCATCCAGCCTGACCCTGAACACTTCCAGGGATGGGTCATCCACAACTTCGCTGGGCAACCTGTTCCAGTGTCTCACCACCCTCATTGTAAAAAATTTCTTCCTTGTATTTAATCTAGATCTACCCTCTCTTAGTCTAAAACCATTACCCCTTGTCCTGTCACTACAGCCCCTGGTAAAAAGTGTGTCTCCATTTTTCTTATAAGCCCACTTTACATGTTGGAAAAGCTGCAATAAGGTCTCCCCAGAGCCTTCTCTTCTCCAGGCTGAACAACCCCAGTTTTCTCAGCCTTTCTTCATAGCAGAGGTGTTCCATCCCTCTGATCATTTTTGTGGCCCTCCTCTGGACCCACTCTAACAGGTCCATGTCTGTCTTGAACTGGGAACCCCAGAACTGGATGCAGTACTCCAGACTGGGTCTCATGAGAGCAGAATAGAGGGGGAGCAACACCTCCCTCAACCTACTGGCCACACTTCTTTTGATGCGGCCCAGGATACGGTTGGCTTTCTGGGCTGCAAGTGCACACTGCCAGCTCATATCCAATTTTTTGTCCACCACCATCCCCAAGTCCTTCTCTGCAGGGCTGCTCTCAATCCATTCATCCCTTGGTCTATATTGATACTGGGGATTGCCCTGACCCAGGTGCAGGACCTTGCACTTGGCCTTGTTGAACCTCGTGATGTTCACGCTGGCCCATTCCTCAAGCCTGTCAAGCTGTCTCTGGATGGCATCCCTTCCCTCTAGCAAATCCACTGCACCACTCAGCTTGGTGTCGTCTGCAAACTTACTGAGGGCACACCCAATTCCACTGTCTATCATTAATAAAGATCTGGAAACAGTGAGGAAAGTGTCAAAAACATTCACTGATGAAGAACCTCTTGACTTTCTAGGACTGAACAGAGCATGCTCTATCAAAGAGTCTAACACTTGAGAAAGATACAGTTACCTGACCAATTGGTTGTAGATATACAGCTGGAATTTGGGGTGGAGGTTGGGAAAACAGACACTGAGAGAGGCCCAGTGGTGAGACGTAAAGACAGAGAAGAAGTAGTGAACAGGAGAGCAGTGTCTACAAAATAAGGAGGAAGAGTTTAAAACTAAGATAGCAAAAAAGGCAGAAAGAACAAGAAAAGGATAGCATCTAGCAAAGAACCTTAAAATTAATTGCATTTAACCTTGTATAGTTATTACCCAACATCTGAAGTAGAAAAACTATACACTGTTATGCAGAAGGTAATAGCACACATACACTTATAACACTTCATTTCCTGTTAATTAAAGGCAAGCTACTTTCACACTGCTATATTTATCTTTAAATTTTGGAAGGAGTTTTATTGCCTTGATGCAGACTTCCACATGCACTGGTTAACATATGTCAACTTGATCTTTTTGCAAGTCTTGCTATTCTAACCGTCGATAGAGTATATTATTAGCATTAAATAGCATGCTGGTTTTGTGATATGAACAGCTTTGCTAGTCTGAAACTTTGAACACATTTTCATTTGGCAAAACCTCAGTAAAATTACTTCTCCAAAGGTAAGCACCAGTGAAAGGGTCCCAAAAAAAAAAAAAAAAAAAAAAAGATTAAATAATGGTTTTTTTAAAGCATGAGCAATTCCAGGAAAAGTCTGAGATACGTTTGTAATTGAGCTTCTGGCTGCTATTTTGTTTTTTTCAAAGTGCAGACTTGGTCTCAGAATACTCACATACTGCCTCTTTCATTTGGAGTACTAACTGCAGAAAGATAATGCCTATTGTTTTAAAAAATAGACATAAAGTTACAGCTGTGCTTAAAATGGTTATTTCCTAATGAATTACCATTTTAAGCTCATTCCTAATGAATTATCACATTTGTAGAAAAATACCATGCTCCATATAGCTCTATCAACTATGATGCAAGGTAAGAAGCATATTAAGGAAAAGCAAAAGAAAATGAGCATTTAATCAGTTCTTCTATTGCACAGATTATCATTAAAGTTACATATGCAAGGAAAGCAAGGGGAAAGTGGTTAATTCTCTTTGACAGAGCATGCTCCTGTTCACATGCAGGCTACACAGATTGATCAATTAAAATTAAAACAGAACTATTCTTTCATTCCCCTTTTAGCAGAAGAGAAGTATTAAAGCTGCCTCACAAGTAAAAAAGCCAAAGAATTTTCACTTTGCTATGGAGTATAGCAAATCCAGCATAGCAGGGCTTCCAAATTCCTTCCTCTATTTCCTTTGCATTTGTCATTCAGCTTCTTTCGTTTTGCAGTATCTCGCAATCTGATTGATTCCCTTCCAACAGCAGCTTCCTATCATTACACCCCGAACCAAACAACTCATTCTATTATGTTAATATTATTCTTATGTGTTTACAAATAAGGACATTAAAAAAACCATACCAAGTTGGCACTGTTTTTCAATCAATAAGCACTGCTATCGCTATCAAAATACCTGCAAAAGGTGTGTAAAAGCTATACAATTCGTAAGATCAAGTTCTAGAGAATCATTTATGTTTACACAAAATACTACTTCCTTTGAAGATATATAGCAACCCAAGATAAAACCATAAAACCAAAAATACGTGACCACATACGTTACAGTACACACAATTTCCACTTGTTCCTCCTAAAAGCAATTGTTTCAGCTCTAATCCCGCTATCCACTTTTTGAAAAGTATTCTCCAGGTGAGCAGTATTTTGGACTGACAATTAAAATATCTGTAAGGGTAGAACATACTTTGTATCTACTACTATCCCTTGTAATAGTAAGAACAATTATTTACTAATATGTAGTCCCTTCTGTAATCCTAAGTGTTGCTTAGAAATGAAGGCACTTTGAAAAAATAAGATTTCAAAAACAATACTGACAAAAACACTACCTTAGTAAAAAAAGCATAGGAAGTCTTGAATATAAAAGCGTATTTGTTATCTCTTATAGTATTAATACAGTATTAATACAATCTCAAAATTTGTAAGCTGTCACTTGGTTTTGTAACACTACATCACGATTTGAAATTTTGAATGCTGAATCTTGGGTCATATACATCATCTTCATCATATACAAATACATGCAAGTGTGGCAAATGTGTTTCTCAAATGATTACAAGCAAATAAGGCGCTAAGGAGTCACAGACAGCTTGCCTTTACAAACGGCAGTGCTTGCTTTTTAATGTTTTATCCAGCTGTGTCATGAGTCTCAAGAGAGAAAACATTACAAAGATCACCCATATGGACTAAAATATAGTGACCTACCTCGGTTTTAAGTTAAAAAAAAATTGTTTAAGCAAAGACTATTTCTTGCAGTAACTGGCAGAAGCCAGCCTTTTAATGGATTAGTCTCAAATAAGAATTTAAGGCTTCAAACTAATGAACACATGCTAGTAAAGCATTTGGGATGTTTAGTGCAGACAAAGTAATTCCTACACTAAAAAGATGCAGAAACAATTTTTGATTCAAAACAATTTAATAGGTGAAATGAACAGATTCAGCCTTAGTTTTCAGACCCAGGAACTGCACATATACTTCATTATTTCCTCTGAAGGCTAACAAGCGTTTTCAACATTTTTCCAACCTGTGGACCACATAGGAGGAAAAGAAAGGTCTTATTAACTGCCTGTGTTCTCAGTCACACATACCACCTCCATTAATTAAGAAAATACTTACAGAACTCATCCCTTGCTGATTTTAAAACAATTAGAATTGAAAGTCACCAGCTGGATAATAAGGTAGAAATCACCTGCCTGACAAGCTCAATGACTTTCTGTGAGCCAGATCTCAAACTCATTTACTAGTTTTTGCATAAGACTATTGCTATTTATAACTTATATTCAATTTAAGATAAAAATTGGTACTGTCATTTCAGAGTCTCACTCCCTATACTTTTTCCCTATTTTTTATTATTTATTTTAAATAAAAGGGGAGATACAAAATACACGCACCACTTTGACCAACTGATTTTAGGTCTCTCATTGCAAGAGGAACTCTGACAAGATATACCATCAAGCTGAAGCCCATCCAAGTTCCTTGTATGCACAAACATCAAAATCTGTTAAATTGGTGTGCTTTTACCAACTCTATCAAGTACAAAGACAATTAAAACCAATCTTCCACAATAAAACCTTGACCACACAGTCTGCCAACTAACAATGTTTGAATCTCGGTATTCATGCAAGAATTGTAGCCTTTAAAATATTTTATTCAAAGATTAATATAGTTCTATTAATGCTTCCAATCAGCTATTTTTCAGGCAACTCAGATCAAAGTGTATGTGATATCAATACCTCTGTTATTTTTCTGATGGCCATTTTTAGTGCAGACAGTTGCCAAACCAACTCATTCTATTAAAACAGTACAGTTTTGTATAAGAAAAAAAAAAAATTAGTTACTTTTCATCCATTCTGCTGCGCATTTTTTTAAGTTTCTGCATAATGCTACTAGTCTCACTGCTGGAGATTGAGATTGGGGAAGGGCTGCGTGTTTCTGCATCAGTTGGAAGTGGGCTAGAACCATTGCTCTGCTTGATATCATCCTCACTGTGAAGTTCCTGCAATTAAGTGTTAAAAAAAAAAAATCAACATTGAAAAGTAGGAAAAGTTATTCTACCATCTCTTTAAAAATTGTGTTAATTTAGTTTATTTCTCCCAAGAGTGCACCAAAGACTACTACTTCAGATAAGTCTGTCCACCTGAAGATTCAACTTCATTTTCCAACTTGACTTGTGACACAAAGTTTTTAGTACACCCTTTTTCTCCATAATTTAAGTTCTCCCCTAACTGTATCTAGAACAAAAAACCGACCATAGTTCAGTTACCCAAACAGGAAACTAATCCTTTCTATACTACTATTATTAAACTTGCGTCTCCTCAAAATTTTGTGAGGAGGCAGGCAGTTATCAAAATCCCATCTTGCTATCTCATAAAGCAGATGCAAGAAACTTAGCGTAATGACACTAACACACACACGAAGCAGCAAGTTTTGGGTTTAGCGCTTACATTTAGTTCTTTGGGGTCTGACAAATAATCAAATAAAATCAGAGCCCGAGAGATCTAAGCAAAAAAATGGTATTCCCAAAGTCATTAGTTAAGCTTGAGAATTAACAATCACCATCTACTGCCTATTTAAAACAAAACATTTTATAACTTCTCCAAATGCATTTCCTTAAATAATGCTTTAAAGAAATTAAACATAAAATTGCAGAGATGAAGAGGATGAGACCATTTGAGACAGACAAAACTTCCAAGTGATAGGTCCAATTTAGTAGCTTTCCATTCCTATAAACACTGAAGTCAAATACCAACTGCACAGCCAAAGAGGGAAGACTCCAGCTTCTGTACCGAATGCTTACCAGCTTGTTTTCTCCTGCAGACTTTAGTTTTTCCTGCAGTTTCATTGTAGTCTGACGGATTCGTTCTATTTCTGCCTGCTGTTTAAGGATCAGTTGTCTCTCCTTCCGAGCAGCCTTGTTAGCCTCTTGAAGACGCTTAATTTCTGCCTTTTAGGTATAAAAGATTAAGTATAAGAACCGTGACAGATAGCTCTCAAGAACACATTCTAAAGCTGCCAGCGTCCATGCTATGGGTTTAAAATGTCTGAAATTACATGATGAAGTAAATAGTCTGAACTTCAGCAGCAAAGAACAGAAGATCAATTAATATACCTAAGACTCAACCAGTGAGATTACCGATACAGAAGGACCCTTTCAAACAATGTGTTAAACACTACCGAAATGCAAATAAAACTTATTGGTAAGAAATACTGCTAGCTTCCTATCCAAAAGCCTGGTATGGAGTTTTCTCAATTCTTAGCTTTTATGGTGTCTGAAATATTTAATGGTTACACAGGGGTTTCAACAGGATTTTCCTAGAGGGCATTAGTTACCTTTTCCTGCTGTAATCTCAGCAGCAGACCACGCTGCCTCTTTCGAATAGGAGGCATTTTATCATCCTCTCCCTTGTCTCGCAAATGCCTGCAAACAGATTGGAAGAAAGGATTAAATAAGAAAAACGTGCACAACAAGAAGCCTTTTACTCTTTAAAGTAAAAAAAAAAAAAAAAAAAAATTTACTTTTCCTAACCTGCAGAAGAGTATATGCCTGTACTTAAATCATTGGCATTCTCTACAGTGGAATATTTTGTACTGCTTAGTCAAAGACACGCACAGTTAGAAGGCCAGTGAAGTAATATGAGATCTCACATGAATGGGCAGAAGTTCTGCAGAGGTAGCATGCTCATCATTTGAGAAAGACAAAAGAAAGGACACTTGGGTCACTAGCTCACACTCCTTTATGAAACCCACAATGACAAGCAGTTGGAAGAAAATGTCTGGTGAACAATGGTACTCTCATACAGAGAGTGACCACAGAAGAGTATTATTGATTAAATCTGGCCACCACTGTTTAGCAGTATCACTAGGTACTTCACATGGCATTCCAGGACAAAGCATTTGCTAGGTTGGAAACAAATTATTAAGGACAACATGTATCTAGATTCACAAAATTTGGCCCAAGTCAACTAAAATGACCTCAGACAGACATAAAGCAAATAAACTTCTAACTGTTTGACAGTTTTACACATTCTTGAATTAAGACTTGTAGGGTAATGGTTGGGAACTGCCTTCTCTGACTGACAACAAACATCTGATTTTCTAGTGTTTCAATGAAATTCTCTTTCATCAAACCCCATTCAATGTAAACACCAAAGCACACTTACAAACCACGTTCTGCTCTTTCCAAGTGACAATAACATTTGTATAGATTACTGATGTCAGAAGACCAGTTCAACCATCGATACTTAATAAGGGAGGGGTGGAATCTTACACACAGAGAAAAAAAAAAATATCAAGTAGAAGTACAAGAAAATGGTCAGCAACATTGTGCATTCAGAGCTGCCTTACTTCTTCTGGTGTTCCAGCCAAGCTAATTCAGCCTTCGTCTTCTCTTTCAGAGCCTTCTCCCGGAGTCGAAGCAATGAGGACTGATGAGCTGCTCGCATTTCCTCCTCTTTCATGTACTGTCGTACCATCTCCATAGTAAACTTAGAGAAACTATCTTGCCCCCCGGAGAATGGCATGCTTAGCTCCTGGAAGGCAGGACAAATTTGGCATGTTTTGATAATACAGAAATTCCAAGGCTTTTTTCAATTTCAAAGTGTATGTGCATGTGTAGACAGAGATAAACACACACAGAAAAACAGATGTAAAGAAGGGAAGATGTTCTTTCTCTCTCTGAGCTTTGTGCAGACCAGCTTTTTCTGCCCTGGGCTGTGTGACAGTTTTGGGATGTGCCCTCTTGGGCCAGAGAGATGAAGCATCCTCTTGTACTTCCTAGCTATGTATGGGCTAGTATAGGCATAGTAGGAAGACTTAATCCACTGGGCTTTTATAACCTACCTCAAAAAGTCACTGCTCTTCTCCAAAGCCAGAGGAGAACAGGTAGAGGTTGTGATGGCTATTCCGTAAGTCAAGTCATTGCACTTGTACAACAGTGACATACAGCATGATTCATACAACTCTGTTTTGAGGTGCTCAAGGAACCACAGAGAGGAAAAGAACCCTAAAGTTTGGAAACACAGCTAGGCCTGGATAGACTGTTCCGTAAGTCAATTCATCACACTTGTACAAGTGACATACAGCATGATTCATACAACTCTGTTTTGAGGTGCTCAAGGAACCACAGGGAGGAAAAGAACCCTAAAGTTTGGAAACACAACTAAGAACAGCTCACTTGAAGCTCATCAGCTCAACCATCTCAGTTCAGTTAATTTACCTTAACTATGGTTGCTTGACCTACCTTGATAGATGACAGAGCTGTTTTTTCTGGGGAGACTTCCTCATCAGAATCATCACGATTACCCCGTTTCTTCTCCAAGTTATTTCTGCGATGACTCTCAGAGGGCAGCAAAGACCGAAAAGACTTTTCTTCAATCTCATCCTCTGTCATGGACTCATCAAATTTCAGGGAATACTCTGTTGCAACAGAAGCGGAATCTGAGGGAGAAACCAGGGAAGTGGTTTTATGCTTAGGTATGTACCATGAAGGCAGTTTTAATCTGTCTCATCTCAATAAAGTTAGGGGGGCAGGAAAGACATGGAGATAACTACTTTAATGTGGAAAATTGGGTGTTTAGAAAAGAGTGACTGAGTTAGGTCACAAAATACTGTTGTCTAGCTTAAAAAGACCTAATAGACTTCTGTACACAGGTATACTGGGGCTGCTGAAACATTTGACATTCAGCCTGCATGTTCAGCAAGTAAACATTAGGCTACAGCTAGCATAGCAGAAAGCTGAATGGCCCACAGACTCCATCACTCCGAAGCACAGAATTTCAAAGGTTCCCATCTCACTGTGTCATCCTCCATTACCTCTCAAGAGGCTACCAGTTCACCTGGGGCTCAGCTTTCTTCACACATATTCCCTCATTTCTTTCAGAAACTAACAGCAAAACAGCACCTCCCTCCCCCCTTACCACCTTCAGATTCATCACAAAAAACCAATACAGCTAACCTTTTTCATCTGGCAGTGATAAAATACTATCACTCGGCAAGGAATCATCCACACCAGTATGAGCCTGCTCTTCAATACTGCTAGTTATCTTTTCACGACGGGAAAACTTTTTCTCATTCTCCTTAGAAGATGGAACTGAAGGACTCTCCTGGCGGCTGCTAGTACTACTGTGTTATCAAGAGATAATTTTAAAAAAAATTACTTTGCACATTTAAAAATATAAATATTACATTACTACTGTACATACCATGACTAACATCCCAGCAATAATCAACATGGCAGAGGGTTTGTTTTTACGTGTAAAATGCAGCTTGGCTCATCAAGCTGCTGACTAACAGTGAAACTTGTTATTTTTATTCTACCTTAGAATGCAAGTTGTTTGTAGATATGCACACCCTCTACCTGGCAATGAGTACTGATGATAAACCATTGCAAACATCTCTCCTTACAGTTTTTAAAAGGGTGAGCAAGATAGTGATACTGTTTTAAATTAGAAGAACTACAGAGGACAAAATCATTCCAGTTGGTCAAGATCAAAGAAGGGCTGTGAGGAGCTTCATGGGACCGAACTAGATCAGGTAAGTGAACAGGAAACAAAAAGCTAAAATCCACTATTAAAAACAGGCAAGATACTGAAAAGTAACACCAGAAATGAGTCAAATCTAAACCTCAGGCAAACAGGACTCCAGGCACTTCATGTACAATCTCAAGCCAGTGCAGAACAGCAGGGGGGGGACACACCCTAACAAAATGGGCAGATAATAAAGAACAGAATAGAAATTAATGCACATTAGAGAGTGGGCAGTTCTACAGGTCTCTGCACTGCGTTTCCAGAACATATACTCCAGTCTATGTTCTAGTCCGTTTCAAAAAGACACAGAGCAAAATGAGAAGGGCACACAATGCAATATTTAGGACAGGGAAAAAGACTCAGATAATGCCTTTTAGGTTACAAAGGCGACACAACAGAAGTATGCAAGTAGACCACAGCACAGAAATCAGAATAGTCTCAGCTCAACAATTTCTGAAGGTATTAAACCCAAGTCAAGGCCATGTCCAAGTTCTGAACACCTGCAAGGACAGAGGGTCCCACAACCTCCCTACACCCCATTCCAGTGTTTGACCACTCTCACAGGGACCATTTTTTCCCCCCCAATGATTTTCCCCTTTCTGCAATCTGTCACCATTGCCTTTGTCATCTCACTGTGCACCTCCAAGAAGATGTTACCTAACAACCCACCTTTAAGATACTGCAACTAGATCCCTGCCCCCTTAGCCTTCTCTTTTTTTAGGTTAAGTTAGCTCAGTTCCTCCAGCCTCCTAACCATCTTGATGGTTCACCACTAGACTTGTGTCTGTATATCTTTACCAAGAAGCCCAGAACTGGACACTGTATTCCAGATACAGTCTCACAAGAGCTGAAGAGAGGGGAATAACCATTTCCCTTCACCTGCTTGCTAGACTCTTCAGCTGAATGAGAAAGCAGATGAGGAACTCAAATTATTCTTGAGTTACAAAAGAGAAAAGTGTCCAATTAGAACAAATACAGCAAATTCAAAACTGAAGATATTAACGCACAACATACTATTACACTGCAGACCACAGTGTAGTAGGATTTTTTATTAAAGACAAAGCAAATTCTGATAGGCATGTAAACCTTCAAGCGCTGCAATATAAGACAGGTTTACCTGTTGAAGGTTTAATATTGCCTTTCCCTCTTTTTAAAAAAAAATACCGAAGGAAGTATCTTGATATTCCTTTGTACTTTAGTTCTTATTTATAGCAAAAAAACCCCATGTAATCTAAACTCTTCTTACCTCTGGTCATGAACCTTTGATCTTGAGGATTCTGAATAACTGTCAAACATCGGTGAGTATGTCTGTTTTGAGTCACCTGTCTCCTCTTTACCTTGTGATATAGCACCAGATCCACATTTCCTGAGAAAGAGAAGCATTTTGGGTAAATCTGCATTGTCTTAAACCAAAGAGTAATACAGTTTTCACAAGATTTCATCAGTTTACTTGAAGTAGTAACAGCTAAAATTTCTGAAAAGATCACTTAAAGCTTAGACTAGTTAAATCATCCCACAAAACATTTAGACCAACTTTTTCTACTCTTTTATATAAAGCTTCACAGAACCAATTAATGTCACTTTTGGTGTACCCTATTAAGGGCATAAAGATGGAATCTAAATTCTTCTTCTTAAATGCTCACTCATAATGACATCTTAAAATTTTCTTCAAGAATAGGTGAAGCAAAACCTAACAAATCTTACTTCCCCCTTCCCAAGATGTGAAACATTAGGCAAAACCTGGTTGTATCAGTTCGGGCTCTCAGCTGTTTCATGAACTCTGAATGATGCTGCCGCTGGTGGTCAAAAAAGTTGGTGACTGGAGCAGCTGGAGCGCTGACATTATCGGAGATCTGAGTTCGTGCTAACTCTGTCATCTGAGTACAATAAAAAAACAAAGGAATACAATGCACTTAGCAGCATCAAAATATTTTTGAAAGGGAAAATAGTCGGTCTCACAGGCAATTTACTGATTTCTTGAACAACTATGTAAGACATGGTTTTGAGATGGTTTTTAATTACATACGTGTCAATTTGGTTGTAGGAGATGCATACTGCTCTGTAAATGCATATTCTTTAATTTACCCAGAGTGGAATTATTGATATGAAACTACAGACATGCAAGATACTACATACCATATCATTCTAATCAACTTAAGCAAACTCTGATCAGTAGAATGATCCCCACATAATAAAACATTCCAGACTTACATTTAGAATGCCAGAAACAATGTTTTATTTTTCATTTGAAAATGCATCTTGCCCAAAGAGCAAGAAATATTCTTTCCACTCCAAAATTCCAATATCATGCAAACTGCCAGTTCTAAAATTTGCAGCATTAAATCAACAGATAGGCATAAATTATCCCTTTTAACGTACGGCAGTCACTGTGTACCAGACTAGAAATAAGAACTTCTTCAGAAATCAAAGCAGATAACACTGGTTTTTAGAAGCTTTAGAATTTAACATTTTTCTTCTTGTTCAAAGGTCTGCTTCTTGCAGAGCAGGGAACTCCAGTTGGTTTTGAAGGTAGGAATAAGCTGTATTTCAATAACTTCCAATACACATACTGAGTTTCTTCATTAATTCTTCAATTAATGTATACAAATTTTATAGAAACAAGTGAATGATTTTTTTTTAATTGGATTGTCTGTATACATCACCCACTGTTTTATCCTTCATTAGTGCAACAGTCAACTCTAAGCAAACTTGTATAGTAGCATACTATATTATCTCTTTTGCATAAGATAAACTTCTAATTGAAAGCAATGCAGAAAATTAACTCCATTTCTTTTTACATAAGAAATTACAGCGTACATCCAAAAATATTCCCAGCACATCGGTGACCGGCATTTCCATTGCTGCATTCCAATTAAAATAAATGGCTGTTCAACTGAATATCAGGTGTCACTCATGAACGTGGATGGAAAAGCCACTCTGCTAGCTCATCATCACTGACCAGGTCATTCCCATCAACCTGTCCACTAGCACCTCTTACTCTTGGACTTCAAACTTAAAGCAAGACAAGAGATTGAAACCCCTACACCAAATAAAAACTGTCTCTGTTTCTTCTACCTTGTTTCTCAATTGGTTTCCACCCACTTCAGCTCTATAAATCACAAATGTTTCTTTGTCTTTATCCAAGACTTCATTACCTACTATCAACAACCACTGCATGTATCTCAGATGCCTGAGCTTTTCTGCTCCTTTAACCTAACCCATGCTTGTCTATTCAGAAATTATCTAAACTTCACATATTTGGCAAAGCCCAGAACAAGTACATCAGTATTATTCTGCAGTCCCATTACCCATCACAAAAACTGCCTTGCTAAGCACCAACATGTGCATAAGCCGTGAAGAAAGAGTTATGTTCATACTCATCAACCTTCTGCACTCCATCCTATAACCCTAACTCACAATCACTATGATTGCTAAACTATGAAGACGCAAAAGCATCTTTTTGGTTACTGTGTTTCTTACCTACGCGTGAAACAGCTGCTACATGTTGGGACAACAAGTATAAAAACTGATAAACTAATAAAAATTATGTATGCCACAAGAAGAATGAAGAGGGACTCAGAGAAAGAAAACTTCAAACTCTGTACCAAGTTAAAAGCTCTGCCGAAGATCTTCCCCCCCTCCCCTCCTTTTTTTTTAAATGATTTATTTGTTGGTCTCCTACCTTCAAAAGTAAGCAAAATTGCAATTTCCCTGCTTTTCTAATTGAATGTGCATATGAAACAGATACAGGATCAATCCCTGATAGAGTGTAGCTCTAACAAATTAAAGATGTTGTGTTCACTGTCAATCTATCCTGGAAGAACAAAAACTTAACAGTTCATTAACTGGAAGATCATAAGAATAGTAAACAGGGATTTAAGGCTGCCAACTGACTTCTAAGTAACAATGCCAGAAAAGCTCCTTTAAAGTCCTATCATTTGTCACGTTATGAGCATGAAGAAGTTGCACTGAGAATGACACTGAACAGAGAATAACCTAGAGGCAAAAAAAATATTCAAAGTAATACTGAAATTAGAATAACTTTTTCCTTTCACTCAGGACCTCACCTCACAGATCTGGTGAGCTGCATCTGTAGTGAGAAGTGCAGTTTCCACCTGCTTGGCTGCAACCTTGCATGGGGTCTCTTGTACAGCCTCCTGCCGTGACTGGACCAGATGCTGCAGTGACTCTGCATGGACCTATGCGGAAAACACAGCCAGTTCAGCTCTTCAAAATTTTCTGACTACAATACATACAGTTTTATTTCTCAAACTCTGGGGGGGAAAAAGGTTTGAAATTGACCCCAAGAGCTTTTTCCAACTATATTAAGCCCCTTCACCATATCCGTATGTTCATAGCTTCAAATTAAGAATACTCGTAGGCACGGAATTACTTACAGCATTTTGCCTCTTACACACTCCACATTTTTTGAAGGGCAGCATTACCTGAGCTGCCTTCTGCCTTGCCTCGTCCAGTTGTCTCTGACTTTCTAAAGCTTCTTGTTCGGCCTTGATTTTCAAAAGAGCTAAGTCACGTTCATGGCGCTGCTGCTGTGCCTACAGATAAGGAAAACAAGTTTTAATCATGGCAAGTTAAATGTAAAGACCTTTTTCACCTTAGCCATTGGCTGCAATTACCTCAAAGACCTAGATCTACTCTATTGGTGGTGCCTCTTCTGCTAAAGCAAAATTTTCAGCCTACCGACCGACCCTCTCCGTTTTTAAGTAGACAGTAGACAATGCACATTCCCCATACTCTTCCACCACAGTGTAGAAACAAAGAGGATTTAGGACACCAATTAATTCAACAAACTAGAACAAGGAATCTTGTCAACATAAGGAAATTTCAACCAAAAATATCCTTTTCATGGAATAAGACAAATGATCCAGCCTGAACAACTACAGTGCATGGCATTGGGACCCACATCAAACCCAGTAAATAATTAAGTGTTTATTTTACTGAAGCAGTGATTCCAGCTAATGGTCTATTAATGACACACATTCTAGAGTCACCAGTTCCTTGGCATCAACTTAAAGTAAGAAAGATAACAGACATTAGTCCTAAAAAATGGACATTATCAGAGATGCTCTATCATGCCCATTATGATTTCTCTGCATTGCTAACAAAAGCGTAACTTGCCCTAATTTGATTAATTTTCTTGCAAAATAAAAAAAAAAAAAAGGTTAAGACAAGGAAGTATTTTCCCATTACCTTTAGAATCTGAGCCAAAGAAACGCTCTCCTGCTGGGCAAGTGATATGCCTCGTACTCGTTCTACATCTGAAAGTTGTCGCACAGACTCCTCAATGGCACTAAGGTAGTTCAATTCTGCTGCTAAACGATGCTGAAGACCAGCAGGGGAGAAGCGCATACATCCTGCAGGATAAGACTTACTAGTCAACTTCCACAGACTTTAGTGCCCCACAGCAAAAAATAAAGGGAAAAAAAAAATATAACTGCTCTGGTATTAGTATGGTTTTAACAAAACAACTCACCACTTGCTGAGGCTGCTCCTGCTACAGACCTACTTGTTCCTAGACTCAAGTCGGGGAAGGCTATGTTAGGCTTCATCCCTGATGCTGCACTTCCAGAAAAGCCAGCAGGTGACTTGACTCTTTCTACTGTATTGCCTATAGAATCAAACTGCAACATTTTTTGGGAACTGGGAGATGGGGAAGAACTTGGCGTCTTCTGGGATCTTCCCTTGTCTGAGAAACTGACAGTGAAATGAAAAAAGAAAGGAGTCAACATTCTCCTAAGTCCAGCCATTTGATAAGACAATAAAGCAATAATCTAGTTCTTCCATTTATATACACCCAACAGATCCATGCAAAAGGCACAGTCTTTTATGGTTTGCACAGGCCCAGTCTGCCTTTAGGAAATGGCCTCATGAGATGGACTTTGTACCTATAGCCCAGCTTAGGGTTAAGTTTCTAGAGCACCCCATTTTCCCCCCAAGTATTAAACCTAGTTAGCACACACACACACACAAAAAAAAATTAACATAGTATCTACATGTTCTACACTGCCAGACAAGCAGTTTCAATGCCTCCCGTTAGGAACCTGGCATGAGAAAGTCAGGATGCGCTCACCTGCATGTGCATTTATGCATCTGTTTTGAGAGTATGAGTGAAGAACTTGGTTTTACAGGAAATTAGGGCAATATTTTGATATCAGAATATGATAAGCAGTATTTTAAAAAAAGTAAACAGGTTACTATCAGCATATGGATGCAACTGAACATGGTAAGCCACTGCCCTGAGTCTCTATCTCTTTCATCAAAATGCAATGAAACGCTTGAAGGCCAAAAATTTAAACAGTTAGTAAAATAGTACAGTAACATTTCTTAAGAGAAAATTAAAGACATCTCTTTCCAAACATACAGAAAATGATGCAGACACTTCTTAAATTTACTCTTCCG